CTATCGGGTAGAGGAGCTAGTTATTTTAATAGTTTTCGCCGGCCTAAAAAGACCTTATCTATATTAAAAGGAATTAGTTTTAGCGCGGTTAGCTACCTAGCGGCGGATTTAGCGGACTATTTAAGGTTGCTCTATCTCTTACCTTTGTTTCTATTCTAAGGTATACTTATACCTAGTAGAGGCGGACGCATTATTTTATTTAGTAGTRGTAGATATATAGGTTAAGGTAGGCGAAGAACCTAAGCTAGTAGTTATATCTGTTCTTCGACTATTACTACGGATTTGCGCTATATATTATCTCTAAAAGCTTCTTAAAGATTATTTAGGGTAGATATAGGTTAGCCGAAGTAATTTTAACGATTCGGTACGGAAATGCCTTTTAACTTCCTTATATTAGCGATACTTCCTAGAAGCGAGTATCGCTTTACGGCGCTAATAGCTAGAAGTTCGTTAATATCGGAAAGGAGCAGAGTATTAATAGTATTACTATTTATCGAACTAGCGGCCCCGTAGCTAGCGCTACTATAACTAATACTATCGTAAATACCTATACTCTCTAATATAGGACGCGTATCTAGTAGAGGAGAACGAAAATCGCTTAATAGTAGATACTAAATAGCTAGTATATTATCTCGTATTATCTAAAGAAAAGATACTGTATCTAGATCTAGTCGTCGAGTATTCGTAAGTAAAACGTCGTTAGCATTACTTTTACTATACCTATCCGGACTATTTCTATAATTAGAAATTAGATTATTAAATAGATTACGATAGCCGCCGAGATCGACTAATCCTTTAGAACTAGTACGATAATTATTATCTTATTACTCCTTAATAGGAATATTATTAAGCTCGTCGCTAAGAACCGGCGAAGCAGCTCTAGAATTAATTCTAACCTTAACCTTAAGACTGTTTATACCGTCGATAATATCGGATACTAAAGTTAAGGGTATCGAGCTAGCGGTACGTAGAAGATCTATTTATATTAGAGATATGTCTATCTCTAGCCGAGATATTATAGAAACGTCGTCTTTATAGATAATATCTATAAACTTTATAGCGCTAGTACGTATAACGCGATTAAGCGTTAGGACTTATATCTAAAAGATCTTAGTACCTTTAGCGCTAACGTAGTATCTAACGATAGCACGGTCCGTAAACTTCTATCTAGCCTAAATCTTCTTAAGATATATATAGCCCTTTTACCCGAATACTCGTAAGTACGCGATATTTAGGACTAGGTCTACCTATCTCTTAAAGCGGGCTATAGCTTCCTAAGGTAATATCTATCTAAGCGTCTTAGTAAGTACGAAGTTAATAACGTAGCTAGCGTATCGGATTACGTAAGGCTACTAAGAAGGACGGAAACTAAATAGAATTATTATAGTCCGAGCTATCTAGGTAACGACCCTATTAGAGGCTTCTAATATACCGTCCTAATAAGAGTTACATAAAGTAGATTTATATAACTAAAAACCTTCCTCGGAAGCTAGCTAATTAAGAGTATTACCGCCTATTTCTATACTATTATCGAGGCGAAGAACTTTAAGACGGCGGTTATATTAAGTACGAATAAGCGGGATATGCTTTCGTATAATAATACTAGCTTTACTTTTTAGAGGAACGGTATAGACTAATCGGAGCCGAAATGCTCCGTTAGTAAGGATTATAACGTATCGTTCGCTATTAATTCCTATAGTAGTTATTAGTCCTATTACGTCGATGTTAGATTTAATACTAGCCTTAGTAGGACGTTTTATAGCATCCTTAGTAATATAATATATAGATTTTAACTTGCTATAAGGATCGTAGTTATTAGGTAAGTTAGAAATACGTCCGATAATCTTTATTCCTATAACTCTATTATTATAGGTAGTACGGAAAGCGTCTAGTCTAACATATCCTAGACGATTATACTAAACTATTACAGATGCTAAAGAGGTTAGTATAATAGTTTCGTTGTTTTTAGAGATTATTACTATATAGTTAGTTATAACTACTAGTTAGGGAACGCTCTAATTATAATAGACACTTATAACCTCTAAACCGTTCTATATAAATAGTTTCTAACTATCGTTACGGTAATAGAGTCCTTTATAGCGAAGTTCCTTAGTAGAGAGCAATACAATAAAGAGGCCTAAAACGTAGTATACGTCTATAAATCCGATAGTATTACGAGAGCTATTAGATCGAAGTACTAAAATATATAGCTAGCCTCGGCTAATCGCCTAGAGTATACTATTACTATACTAAATTATAAACATCTTATAATTAGGTAAGGCCTAATAGTATGTTATACGAGATTTGTCGTTATAGTAATAAGCAGATACGCTAGAATCGATTACGATTAATAATTAATCCTAAGCTACTTAAAAGGCAAATAATAGGTTAAGTATAATACTAACTAGAGAAAATACTATAGCATCTTTAAAATGCTTACGCCTCTCTTACTCGGAAATAGCGCGAAACTTTCGATAATAGTTAGTCGAAGCGTCGAAGCTATATCGTTAATAAGTTACCTTACTATCTCCGCTAATAAGTAGTAGGCTATCGGACGTTTAAAGCACATTTAATCCTTTAGAGTACTAAGAATAAACGTACTTAGGAATATTAGATACATATTCCGTAATATTACTAATATTTATATAAACATTCTAACTTAGAAAGTTCTAGTAAATGTCTATCTAGAGTGTTTAAAGATAATTCTAATTCGTTCCGGAAATATAGATTTCGTCGAGATATCGAAGGACCTTAATACCTAGTATATAATAGAAGAATTTATTATCGAATTAAAATAGATCCTTAGGTAGCGGATAAATCCCGAATAAGCTAAGACGATATATTAGCTATTTGTAATTATCGCCTATCTATAGAAGAGTACTATTAATAAAGAGGCCGGAAATACTAATAGGTATAGACGCGCCGCTATTAACTAATATACTTAAAGATATACTACTATCGATTAATTTGTCGGATATCCCTTTATTTCCTCTAATYAAAATAATTAACCCGAATACTAGGTTAATCGCCTTCTAGGCTATTAGACTAATTAGCTAGGTAGTAGATATATTAGAGATACTAGAATACCGGGAAGAAGTTAGCGAAGCGAGCGAGAGAATATTATAATAGTTTATAGGATCGGAGAAGTTTAAAGTTACGTTATCGTTAGAAACTTATCTTAGATTATTATTATTCTCTTATTCGAGCAAGCTTATAATAAAGTAACTATCGCCTTTCTTAAACTAAGGTAAAAAAATTTAAGTAATAGTAGGGTCGACGAATTACTACCTACCTATACGGCGAGGAGTTAAGAATCCGTCCGCATCTTATTAGATTAGTCTAATTAGATTACGAGTAGAAAGCCGGTACTAAAATAGGAGTAATAGCTAAGTTCTCGGCGGGATCTCTAATAGCGATAAAGATTTAGCCGCGGACTTATAGATCTTTTCGACCTAATATATCGGAACTAGTATTTCTATAAGGATACTAGGCCTACTAGTAGTCTAGCTTACTATAGTAACGGTATAAGCTAGGAGGTTTACTATTACGTAGTCTATTACTAGTTATTAGCTAATAGCGTCTATTACGGGGTTACTATACGAAGTAAGCTAATATAAGCGGAGCTATAGCTTTGCTTTTATTAAGAAGGTTATAGATAATTTTATCTAGCTTTAAAAGCTCCTTTTCGCTAGTAGCCGTTAATTTTTTATCGCGTAATTATTAACGAACTATTACGGCGAAGGTAGGAAAGTATTCTATAATACGGTAGACGAAAGCGTAGATCTAGATTTCTAGATCTATTTTAAGACCTATATTTTCTACCTTAGTAATAAAATTACGGTAATTCGTAGTAAAGGTATAAACATTCCCTCTAGAGCTTACGAAGGTAATACCCTCGAATTTCTAGTAGATACCGAGTCGATAGAACATTCTATCTTAGTTATCGTAAACTAAAAGCAGGTAACCCTATACCTCTTTAGCGGTCTTAAATTCTAATAAAGTAAGGATAATCTTGTCCGTATAGTTATTAACGAGAATTATATAAGCTAAAGCATCTTTCTATTTAAATGCTACTAGGGTAGAGACGTTAGAAGTAGGTAGATTTTACGTGTTTTCGATAAAGTCTAGAAGTCCGTTAGACTCTAAGAGTAGCTTAACTTAGATCTTAAAGATTAGCTAAGTACTAATACTAATATACTTTATAATAATAGTAAGCTAAAGACTAGTAGCGTTAGTAGTTATTACAATAAAAGCCTTTTAATAAGATCTAGGAACTAATATAGCAAATCTRAGTAAGAGTCGTAGCTTAGTAAACAAAACGAGGGGACTCCGCTAGAGGCTACTATAAAAGGAACGAGAAGTTAAGCTAAACACTAGATATAGTATTAAATAGATAGGACTTAGTATAACTAAGTTAGTCGAAGATACTAAAGGAATAAGGAGATATTTAGATTAATCGTTCGCGTTATTACGGAAGTACGAGGGGCTTAATAACCTAATAAACGATAATCGCGAAGTGTCTATATAATACCGAGCTATCTATTACGACTATAAAGGACCTATATCCTTCCTAGGCTAGTTTGCTTTTAGCAAACTAATAACAAGTAAATAGACAAACAGGCCAATTATAGAACTAACTAGTAGGGCTAAGAAGGCACGCGCTATATCCTCGAACATTATGTACAGTCTATACGTGGAAGAGTATACCACACTTTTCACGAAAACGACGGCACGCTACAAGGTCGGAGATTGTGAGGTGAGACTTGGGATTTGTAATCAACTGCTGAGCTTCTTCCATGAACTTGGCCTGCAATCGCCTCGTGGGGGTTGCTACCGTTGCTCTGTACTTCGTTCTGTGACTGTCTACACATGCTGCAGCAAAAAAATCTCGTCCTTCTCTCTGGGTATCGTCGCGTCAAGGTCAAGTCATGCAGACTTTTGGCCGTTAGGCCTGCCGTTGATCAATGCTTCTCGTCAATTCCACGCCGGCAAGGAGGAGCTCAGGATCGGTAAAAATCCAGCTCCTTCTTTCTCTTGCGGTCTGCCTTCTTCCGCTTGAATTCGGCAACCTGTTGCTTGGAGAGATGTTGCTTCTGGCGTTCTTCCTTCAATGATCTGCCCTGGTGGGCTTCGGCAGCAGCATCCGCGTCGAAAAAGGCGTTCAATTGACGTCCGCTCTTGGCGGCGTCGTTGTGATGCTCTGCACCGGGCCGATTGGCTTGGGCGTGGCCGGTGCGGGCATTGAGGATCATTTCTGCTCCGTAGCCGGGTGGGAGGGCGACAGGGGCAACGAAACCACTCTCCTCTTCTCTCTTCTTGTTGTGGTATGCGGCGTAGTCCGCCTTTGGATCGTAGTTGCCGTGGATCTTGGGGTTATACCCCGTGTAGCCTTCTAGAGGATCCTTTGGCGCTGTAGAATCCAATCAGTAATGAAAGTGGCAAATTCGGAGTCGGCCTGTACTTACCATCCTTCTTTGCTGGGTATTGCAGCCCAAAATTAGGGTCTGGCGCCTCCAGATCGGCATTGAAGATCCAGTATGGCTCGTCTGGCTCTTCCCAACTGGACACGAAAGTGTCCGAGTGCACGTAGTAAGGCGTGCCCTCACCGGGCAGGCCGGGACCTACAACGGCCTTCATCCACTTGTACTGATTTCCGCTGTTAGTAAGGAAAAGGGAGAGTAATGATGTTGTGGTCAGTCCCAAGAGATGGTTATTGAGCAAGAAAAGTGAACAGAAGCAAGGAAATGTTGCAGCGGGCTGCAATACTCACCTGGTCGCTCTCGTCGGCGGCGGTGGTGGTGGTGGGCGGAGCATCCGCCAGCGCCGCAGCGTCCTGCTGGCGCTTTGCAGCGCCCAAGAAGGAGAATTCACCAGGCGACATGCTTGTTGGTGATGTGTGTGAGGAGGAGTGGCTGAGAGTGAGATTTGGGTATGGCAAATTCTGGTACGGACGGCTAGAAAACCCCTGGGACAGAACTCCTCCGCCATGCCTCCAGATTGATGTCCTCTCTATTGCTCTCTCATTTTACAGCTCGAATTATGTATATGGACTGTAACTCACTGGCGCAGAGTATGCAATGACGCAAAGAATATCCGCTGCGTGGAGAATGTTCATCAATTGTGGTTCCATCAACACCTCCAGAGACGGCGTCTTGGATACCATAACTTTGCCCAAGAGGTGTTCACTCGCGTCCCCTCAAGTTCAAGTTCAACAGCCACCCTCTCCAACATATTACGCTGCCACCCAGCTACTCATTAGTTTGGCATGCAGCCATGGCACAGCCTGTCCTTGTGAAGGCGTATACTGATAGAAGAGCCAGCACAAAGCGTAGTCTCAAAAGCAACGAGGAAGCACTGCCGCCCGTTTCTGCGTTCACGTTCGCGAACATACTTCGAACAGCTGACACCACCCCCGAGTTCCAGGCCGCGATCGATGGCATAGCAGAGATATGTGCAAAGAACCGCATGAGTCTGGCCGACGAGTATGCATCTCATCTACCGCCTCTCGGCGAGATCACAGCTGCAACGTCTACGAACATACGACCCCATCTACTTCGACCAGGAGTCCGTCGACCGCTAACAAGTGTGCCAGAGGGCAGCTCCGGCAGCAGCGAAGGGAGTGGAAAGAGTCGCAAGAAGGGCAGTATATTCAGCTTTCGCAAGCAGCAGGTGCAGGACAGCGTCCCTGCTCGTCGTCTGCGGATTGGTATGATGGGGAGAACTGTACCCGTAGGAAGTACAACTGCTCTTGCTGCTGAAGCATGGATACGACCCCAAAAGTCGCGGAGTTCGTCGGAGAGCACGATAGTCGCTGCACCCCCTGCCGCCATCTCACCACTCCGTCCAGTACCACGAAGAACTTTGAGCGCGGCGGAAGTCAGTCTGCAGCAGCTGCTTACAAGGAGCCGGTCTTCGGACGACTAAGACGAAGTGCTTGATCATATCAGGATGACATGGGATGAGAGGGAAGCAAGTGGTATTGATTCGTTCCAACAGAACAGATAATGCAGCCATCCCCCCGCATGGTCGACGAACGATCACGAAATGCTCGCCGACAACAACCTTGACCTCGCGTGAGCCGAGCGTCCCTTCTGTATCTGATCGTCCTGCAAGCACACGACGAAGATCAGCTCATGTCGAGAACGAAAAGCGTAGTCGGAAAAAGCACCTTCTCTCCGAGAGTATCACAGTAATCGACACTCTCCAACGCCAGCGCAGTCTCGTATGAGCCATGGACCAGGCATAGGAGGAAGAACTTGGATCCTCGGAAATGGTCTTGCAGGTCCTCTGACATCGCGTCGATGCTTTCAAAAGTCTCTGAATCACATGCACCATTGAGCCTGAAGCTGATCACGTTTTCGATATGAGGGCGGCGCCAATTTGCCTGGCGGAGCATATCCTGCGCAAGTCAACGAAGCACAGAGGAGACCTTCATCATGATCACATACTACGATGTGCATCAGATTGACAAATCCGCAGGGGGACTTTTCGCTAGGCCCATCATCAGGCACCGCTTCGGGTCCGATAGACGGCATATCAATATGGATCACAAGGCTCTCGATCAGGCAGAGTCGTGGGTCCGCCTTCTTGAGCCATCGACAAAAGCTGCGGTTGCTAGATTGCTCTCGAATATTTGCGTGGAACTGGTTTACGGCCCAGTACATGAGGGAAGCTTCACCCCGAATCTGTTTGCAGGTTGCCAGTAATGCTGGCTCAGAGTTGATATACACTCCATTCGGCTCGAATAGTGCTGCAAGAAGTGTCAGGAGACCGACACGAGGGGAGAACAACACCCATTCTATATGCTAGTCTCACCGTATGCGTATATTGAATTGCGGATCTCAGCCGGCAGGGAACTGAGCAATGAAGTCTCCATTGGCACGGTTTCTCCGTGTCTGAGTTGTAGGATCTGCAGTAACGATGCTTGTAGCACTCGCGGTAGTTCACGATAGTCGAAAGCCGTGCGTAGGGAACTTGCGCTCTGATCAAAAGTGATTGTGAACAAAAGCAGACATCTCTGTTACCGTCATGCCTCTTTACGAAGTGGAGCTGGGGGCTTGTTTTGTTGTTCTTTCGCGCGCCGAGGCTGGCTGGCGTCATCAACTTCCAGTTCCAAGTTGTAGAAACATGGTAAAGTTAATGCCACGACACCAAACTCACACAATCACCGGCATCGTTGACGACGGTGCCGCAAACTTACTAACGCGCCTACCAGGTACCTACATTTGTTCTTTGACTTTCCTTCCATGGACAACGTTGTCTGTCTTAAACAACATCCCCCGCGTACGCGCTCTTCAACTGAGATGGCACCTATCAAGAATGCAATGAGATTTCGCAAGGTAGCTATCGGCACAGGGCGAGGAATGTACGATGAGGAATCGCCAGACTTTACTTGGTCAATGACGGCTTGTGCAATGCAGCGCCCAAGGGAGGAATCTTATTCAGTTTCCAGATGAATGCCACGGTCCATTCTGGTCCAGCTCCAACCTACCGAATATGGATTCTCGACAAAGTCCTGGACTTGCGGCGATGTATTTGATCTTGCAAAATCCATTCAAACGTGCGGCTTCCCAAGACTCCATCACAAAAGCTCGGAGTTTTGCGGGAACCTAGGTGTCCTCAGTATAGAGCGCGCGGGACATGAGACACATTCCGTCCACTGCCTGGGCCTCTGATGACTGGAAAGACCGGGAGGACCAGGAAGACTTCACAAGATCGATTCCGACAAACTCAATGGATGTCTGCTTGTTCTTTGGCATTGGACTTCCGGTAGGGTAGTGGATCCATGCGCCAGCGCCAGGACTGCCATGCATGGCGATGCTTTGAGCAACACGGCCAAAAGAGATCGTTGAATGCAGTCTGGGACTGCATCCTGCTGGGGATTTAATACTTTGCACACCCCAATTCCGAAGAACGCACTGATTCACAAAATTCACCTCCGCTAGATGGCCGTTCACACGGTATTGATTCGCCGCGGCACCGAAGACAGATGACACGAAAGCTCGTTCATTGGATCGAGTAGCCGTGCTATGCATTCGCCAATGGTATTCCTCATCGCAGTCGATACAGTCCGCATGCAGCTTGAGTGACACTGTCCATATGCCAGAACGGGCAGTACGGCGGGAGGTGCAACTTCGAGACTCACSCTGTTATCCAAGTCGTGTGAGGGGTATTCCATGGCTCGATTAATGGCTGATACGGGGACATGTGCAGGTCGAGTTGCCGAAAGAACYCCCACGGCGCCACGAATATCTAATCTGGACTTCAATATAGCCTTCTCATACTTTGCTGCGGATTGCATGTTACCAAATCTAGAGGATATGAAGGATTTCCTGATGAAGCTAGGTCGTCAGGAAGTGCTCACATCGACGTGAGTGAATTGGAACAACCACAGCATAAAGTGGAGACAAAAACATCATCAAGCGAACTCATGTTCGGTTATATGTCAGTCTTGTGGTGACACATCTGCACGTCAAAGAGAAGTTAAGTCTTGTGACCATCCGGGGTTTGATGTCTAGAATCGGAATTAAAACCCGCTTTACTTCCCCTCCCACGTAGTCATGTATCCATGGTTAACATCTGCTCTATCATTGATATAGGACTTTCCAAACAATAGTCAGACCTCCCTCGGAAATCACTTCTACAATCCCCAGTAGAATCCAATCATGGTCAAAGTAAAAACCTACAACCTCCCCCCCACAAAACTCATGCCCAATTCCCCACACCCTCTCCTCCACTACCCCAATTTATTACCCAAAGAAGCAGGATACAAACCCTCCGACATCCACGCACTCCTCGCCTCAAACGGCTGGCAAACACAATGGATCTTCAGATACGGCCCCACTCAAGAATCCCATTACCATTCCTCCGCGCACGAAACAATGATAGTCCTATCAGGCACAGCAACTATACGTTTTGGAGTCGCAGATACAATAATTCCCAATAGTCTCGAAGAAGAAGAAGAGAATTCTCACGGCAAAGGTGGTAATAAAGAAATCGGGGGAATTGAACTCAAGGCTAATCCGGGGGATGTATTTATTTTGCCTGCTGGGATGGCTCATAAGACTTTTGATCCTGTACCTGAGGGGGATTTTCGATTGCTTAGTCCTGGGGAGGGAAATGGTATTGTTGGAATAGTAGGAGGAGGAGAGGGAGATGTTGGAGAGATGTTGAATGGGATTTTACTTGAGCCTGGGTTTACTATGATGGGGGCGTATCCTTGGGGTAGTGAGTGGGATTTTGAGACGGGGAGGGAGGATCATGGATTGTTTGATGAGAAGATTTGGTTGGTGAGTAAACCTGCGAGGGATCCTGTTCTTGGGGATGCACCTGAGGGATTGTGTGGGCAGTGGGAGGATGTTGAAGTTCTTAAGGCAAAGCTGTGAGAGAGAGAGACTGGCATTTCAATTATGCAGGCTAGGCGATGTATAGAGCGTTCAGCAATCGTCCAATTTCCCATATACACCCGTTCTCGGCGCATGTCCTGTTGGTGATTCGGGCATTCAATGCTTGAGATGCTTGGATTGTGATGTTGAGACTTTGTTCGGATTGTAGCACTCGAGAGTCGTTGCTCAAGTGTCCGTAACCGAGCTCAAGTAGCCGTGTACTCAAGTCGGCGTTACTTGGTTGTACCATCGACGAGATCGCACCTTGCGGGAGAGCGTCAAAAGCTGCATTGCCGGGAGCCAAGTATACAGTTGACTGCTGGATATCTTCACTCTGAGAGAAGAGTGCAAGACGACTCAGGAATGCCGGGTCGACTTTTCCAAGAGCCGAATGGAGGGTGGTGAGTCTGGGTGAAGTTTCGATAATGTCTCTCATCGTGCCCTGAACCGTCGTGATGGGAGGAAGCTCGTCCGTTGCACCAGCATCACCTTCACCAAAGTATGTCGAGTAGCCGTCCAGGATGCCATCTATCTCGCAGAGTCGTCCGTTGTATGCAGGACTACAGGCCAGATCCCCTGCAGGMGTGCGCACCATATTTGCTTGTGCTGGAGGAGTTCCCTCCCCAGTGTACATCGCAACGTTAGTGGCCATGCCTCCGTTCCGATCAAAGGTAACATCGAAGCCGCCAACCATCCGCGCCGACTTGCCTGCGGCACAGTCGCTATCGCTCATGTTGCCTGGCGCAATGTGATTGATGAGGAAAGATTCGAGCAGTACATAAGAATGCGGCAGTGTTAGATACGTGAGCAATGCAGGTGGCAACTCGGCAAGCGCCTGCGAATCAGCTAACAATCAGCTTGTGCTATTAGAGTCAAGAGAAAGGCACTCGCCTTGTTTGTTGGCGCGAAGGCTGTGAAGGAAAGCCCGATACTAGGATCATTGAAACGCTCTTCGAAATCAGGCCCTGGTTTACCTGAAGCTCCGCCTGTGCCATTGAAGAGCGAGTAAAAGGTTGAAGTATTGGGATTTTTGGCGATAGAGGTGAGTATGGGGTCCAAAGGTGTATATGACAGGTGTGCAAGGGCGATGCCTGGCGTCAATAATGCCCAGAGGATGTGAATGATGCGCAGCATCGCGAGCATACCTGTCTAAGATGTCCTGCCTTCTTCATATTCATAGTGCCCATCCCGTAGTACTTGTACTTTGCGGCACCTTTCCAGTCTCTTGGGCCAGTCATTCTGCCCAAGCGAGCTGCGGGAGCCGAAGGATTTAATCCATGAGCTGATACTGTGATGAGACGGCCCCGAAACGATGAGACGGCCGCGGATGTCGTCTGCGAAGATGCCTGTCGAATTCCTCGCATCGATGGCAGGGCTTAAACGGCTTCCAAACCCTTCTCTTGCCGAGTGTGCAAGGATACCAGACCACTCACCGGCTGAAGATGGTAGAGTTGATATCCTTAGATGGCAGGAAGCACCCCGAATGGATAGTCTCAGCTGAGCGAGGCCATCTAGATTTGCAGAGAGCAACCCGCAATCAGGAGTCGTCTCCAGATAAGGGAGCGAGGCGATTCAAAGGCAATGCAAGGCAATCGTGCCAACCAGGAACACACTTGTTGTGGACGATCCAACACGGTCGGTCTGCCATTCGGACTGATCATCAAACACTCTCGACAAGGGAATCCGGTGCATCCAGTGTTTCCCACACGCGGGTCATGAGTGTTAAAGGCCACGATAGCACCACATGGCAAAAGGTCGTGACTCGCAAAGTAAGTCGTGGTCGACAAGGATCATGGTCATGGTCAGATCGTGAGACGTTGCCAAGAGAAAGTCGCCGATGTGCTCCCTCCCTTTCCCATGGACGTCCTCGGCTGTTTGCTCACCGACATCCATCATCGACGCATCGAAGACGACCTTGGCCTGGCTTCCGAAAAATGTCAGAGAAGGAGTTTGTATACACAGTGGACTGGAGTGGCTGCGGCATGGCTACATGAGATGGCGGCCGGCATTGAGGGACAAACATGAATCATCAGATTTCATGATCAAGTGGGTGCCACTACTCCGGACTCTTCCAAGGCCATGAGCTGCTGGAAATGCAGTGAAGCACACTCCATGTCGAGAGGAGAAATCACGCCTGAGATCGTTGACGATCGCCCAAGATCCATCAGGTATCTTTCCTGGATGAACAAGCTGCGCCGAGGATATTTTGCACGGCCTCCTCTACCCCGCGACCTCTGGATCATTCCATGTCTCACGATCAAAAGATGACAGAAATGATGAAGAGCCTCTCTTGATATCATGGTGCATCACCGGGATTGCCGAGGCGTGCTACAGCACAGCTAAGATCTTTACAGACGTCCACTTTGCGAGATTCGATTTGATACTCTCTTACTCTAACCTACACGCTGTTGGTATTGTGAGGTATTTTTTCAGATGGTACTTCTATTACACCATAACTCCACAGCGCCAGGTCGTCTTGCTTCACATGTCCATATGTTGCAATCAATTCGCTGCCAACCATTGCTCCTACGTCTCGAAGAAATGCCACCACCATCAATACAACCCTGCGACCCAAAACCCTCTCCACCAGCACTAACATATCACCCCATGCCAAAAACCCGCCTATAAACCCAAGCAACCCCGCCAACCAACCTACTCACCATCCCAAAAATCTGCGGCACACTCCAAACAACCACCAAAAAAACCCGAAAAAAAACACAATCTGAACCCCACAAAAAAAACCTACATACAAACCCACCAACAATCCTCAGAAGAAGCCATCCCTCCTCCTCCCCCTTGCTGCTGCTGTTGAAAATGCCAACAACAACAAACAGACAAAAAGATACAACCCCACAACAATAACCTTGAAAGTATAATCATTATTCGAAGCGATTTGATGGAAAAGCCTGACTAAATATCCGGGAAAGTTCCTCGAATTGATGATACCGTAGAAAGTAGTTAGAGAGGATTGATTGTTGAGCCTAGAGTTACGGGGATGGATGAAAACTTAGACCTAATCCAGATTCCGAGGCGGATGTAGGGGAGTGTTGTTGTTGTTGTTGTTGTTGTTGTGAGGTTGGGTAGGGCGCATGCGGGTAGGAGTTGTGGGAGGTTTTTTTTTCTTTTTCCCTGGTGGTGATTATGATGATGGTTGTTGTTGCTTGTTGGGTTGGTTTTTTTGGGGGTGAGGGTTTGGGGTAATAAGAGGATTCCTTTGTCTGGTGGAGGAGGGTGTGGTTGGGCTGGGGGGTGGGGCATCTTGATGGGATGTGCAGGGTGAGGGTTTGTGGGGGGAAGATTTTGCTTTGAGTGTGTTTATGATGTGAGTAGGAGGACTGGTGGTACTGTTGTAGGTGCGCTTTGTGGAGCTTTAAGGAGCGTAGAGAAGATAAGGTATGGTGGAACTTTTCTTCTGGGTCGATCTGGCAAGCAAGAGAAGCGTACTGTTTTCTAGGTGTCTCGAATATCCCTTGATTGTGACGAAAGTCTTCTTCTCGCTTTCCGGAGACTTTCGCAATGGGTACCTGTAAGAGGCGTTAATGGTGATAGGTATGAGGTATTCCGGACTACTCGCACATACTAATCACAGATTTTGTATTGAGAACGCCGATGCTGCGAGAGAAGAGGCCCGGTTTGACATAGGACGTAGTGCTGGTCTATCAGACAAGAACGACGATGGCCGTGAAGAAGCTCAAGACAAAAAAGAACAGTAAGGGGCAGGAGAAAATACCCAGCAAGAGTGAAAGATGCTCAATTCATCCAACTAAGCGCTCTCGCCGGTATCAATCAACATACCAAAACAGCCTCTAGCCGACATCTTAGTCTCTGCTGCACATACTATTCGGACAGATATGCATAATAAGCCTCCACTGAGTTTACTCGCTTGGTCGGACGTCCCACCATAGCCATAGGGAAGGCGCGGTTCCCGACTTTGGTACGGACGTCTTTCACGACATGCCACTGGGCTTTGGAGTCACCAATGCTGAAATATGCCTCCAATCTGGTGGGTTGAGGAGGCGGGCTGATATTCGAGGAGCCCTCTCCCGTGTGCCCAGGATATGGTTTGGGAGCTGAACAATCGAAAGGCGCTCCGTCGTCTGGGCTTACGGGGAGGGAGACCTCTGGTGCACATGGCCAGCCGCAGTATGAAATGGTTTCATTATGTGCTGCGGTAGATTGTGGTGCTGGTTGATGTGTGTTTGTTATGGAAGTCGTGGGCGGCTGTGGGTTGTTTGTTGTGTCAGTTGAAGGTGATGTATCGTCAGRTTTGGTCGTAGTGACCGTCGTTTTACGGGTCGCGGGCATAACTGCTGCGTACTTGGAGGGTTTTGACGGAGAGGTGTGATGATGAGCGCGTCGATGGGAAAACCAATATGAAAAGGGACGTTGGAGTGCAGGTTTTAGGGTGAGCGTTTGAACGATCCTCTTCCATGTGACCAGAATCTAAGTTCATGGCATCGATCGAGATCAATGTTCAGATGAGCACATCCTGGCCGATTTCGATGCAATGTAACAAGGCGGTATTATGCGAAGCCCATCTCGGTAGATCTGGTTGTTTCCGCTCCAAGACACTGCAACATGGTATGAAGGGCTTTTCGAAGCCAAGTCCGTGATCACAATGTGTGTCCGTAGTACATCTTTGGCGCCTGACAGATCTCGGAGATAGAGGACCAATCTTCCAAACCGAGTATTGTTAAACCACTCTTGGACTGCAATCCCACCACGCAAATAAATGCTTGTCAACTTGAACCACTGCGTGAACCACTGCTTGAACTAAGATTAGAGGCTGCTGAAGCCAGCGCGGACCAGGCAGAAGCATACACTCCACGGAGATTAGCTCTGCACGATGGTCTCGTCCTGATCGCTGAAGAAACTCTTGATCAAATGTGTTCCGGCGCCAGCCTCGTCTGATGTAGGATGAGTCGGACATCTTTCACTTGTGGGTCCCTCGTCCATTACCGCAAGTGAAGACCTCGACGGCCCATCGGTGGTTGTGCAGCTGCTGATGACTACCTAGTACCTAACGTAGGATGGTAAAACCGAGAAATGATGATGATTCAAACTTAGGTGGTCATGCATTGTGGTGGTGAAGAAGGGAGGGCGGGAAAAAAGTTCAAGCTGGATTCCGGACGACCCACCTTACGGGAGCAGTTACCGTGGTGTGACCAGGAACGGGACTCAACACTTCTTGAATGGATCATCTCCAACAACAACAGCACCTGCAACAAACCACGCAGTTCAGCCTGACTGCCGCAGCGTGGATCAGACTTCCACATATCATCAGATCGTTCTTTCATTGGTGGCCACGTCCCCCGAGTCACACAGCAGACAAACCTGACCACGTCGGTGGATCAGCAATTCCGGCCATCACCACAGCTTACCTTATATACCTATCTTCGCACCCGACTGTCAGCCTTTCGTCCACCAATTCAACACCCCAACCCGCACGATGGCCAACAAGCACCGACGCCTTGTCAAGGAGWTCCAAGATATCATCAAAGACACCCAGTCCGGTATCACCGTCACTGCTCCAGATGGTTCCTCCGACATCACCGATTTCACTCACTTCCGAGGCCACTTTAGAGGTCCTCCCGACACACCATACGAAGGAGGTCGCTACGAGATCGACATCAAAATCACCGGCGAGTACCCGTTCAAGCCGCCGGAGATGAGATTCATCACCAAGATCTGGCACCCGAATGTCTCCTCGCAGACCGGTGCCATCTGTCTGGATACTCTGGGCACTGCATGGTCCCCTGTCCTCACCCTGAAGAGTGCCCTGATCAGTCTACAAAGTCTCCTCTGCACCCCCGAACCCAAAGATCCACAAGACGCGGAAGTCGCCAACATGCTGCTCACGCGACCCGAGGAGTTCAAGCACGTGGCACGGGATTGGGCCCAGAAGTACGCGAGAGCAGAGAAGCCGAGGCCGGGAGACTCAAAGAGTGGAGCGAGTTCATCGAAGCCGCAGGAGGTACCAGTGGTGGGAGAAGCCGCAAGGGAGAAGCGGCAGAGGGACGATGCGAGGAGAAGAGCGGCGTATGAAGGGTATAACAAGAACATGGTGGACAAGTTCGTCCAGATGGGCTTCCAGGTCGAGCAGGTGGTGCAAGCATTCACGTATGTGGGAATCGACAAGGCCGATGGCGAGGAGTATGAAATGGAAGAAGAATATCAAGGCGACATTGTTGCTAGGCTGTTCGGCGAGGATGTATGAGCAACACATCCTGCAGATCAGACTGGTGAGGAAGCGATGGCAACCCACGCAGATCAGCCAGAACTCGCGGCGGGCACTATGGACTGGGGAGGCTCTGATGCTCGGGCACTGGCTTCGGACGAAGAACCTTTACTCTCTGAGCACCCACATTCCGATATTTTGGCAGACTCACCGGTTGATGAAGACTTCTACCCTTTCACGCAATACTTGCTCTTCCGCCACTATGGGCAGCCACCGTACGATCCCTCTCAGGACCCCTGGTACACACTAGGAGATTCTGTTTATCCAGATTCTGCCCGAGAGCTGGAGCATATCCACTACCCACCTCCCACTCAATCGAACAACGACTACCCTTGGCCATCTCCCAATCAACAGCGTGAAAACTCCGATCAGCCGCCTGACAACCAACAGAACAACTTTTCGGGATGGCCCCCTTCTGCTCATTTGTAATTTCACATTTCACTGAATTGCAGTTGAAGGAGCACGTGGAGATCAGCAAGTCAGCGAGAGAGGGCAATGTGATGACAGCGGCTTCCTTTTCGGTCGTTTCTTTTTACTGCGTGTGAACAGCATTGTACGATCATTGCATGTGCATATTATAGCGGGTAGCGTCGTTCCGAGCGAGCATAGTTAGTTCATGACATACACAACGATTGATCACAACTCCGAGCCGTTCAGTTCATCCTTATACATGTTAATGATTGTGTCGACACTCATCTGTTGCCCATAACTATATCTACTTCCACACGCAGGCAGTCGCCGCTCGGGTCTCGTGATGGATTAAAGTYCCGGCTCCGATTTCGCATGCCAGTGGCCACCGACCCAGCCACATGGGTCCAGCCACGCGCCGCGATTCCCTGCGACACATCACGTTCAGCTGATTTCCTTTTCTCGCCGCAGCAGCAAAATCGCACAACTAGCGGGCGTGAATGGTGAGAGTAGCGCGGATCATCGTCAAGGCAGGCAGGTAGGTGCATCTCACACTCTTTCTAGTTCCTTTCCCCCAAACCAATTCCACATTCCCGCTACACGCAACGACGTCCACACAAATGAGCAGAGCAGGCCACACTCCTCCCGAATCTCTCGGTATATCTCGCTCGGACTCGAAGGATCCTGCCGAGACTTGTAGGGGTATTACTGGGAATGGAAGACATTGTAGGAGAGCTTTGGCCGTTGGAGCTGTAGGGATACGGCATGGTGAGGATGGAGATGGGCCGGAGTTTTATTGTCATCAGCATAAGGATCAGGCGCATACTGGACAGGTGCAGAGTGGGAGCGGAAGGAGGAAAGAGGATGTTTTGAGGGAGAAGAGTTCAATTGAGACTTTGGTGCAGAAGTTGGGGATACAGTCTTTGGATGAGAAGAAGAAGAAGACGAAGCAAAGTTTTGGGAAGTGGGATGTTGCTGGAGTGGAGAGTCAAACATCAATCCCTGGACGAAGGAAGKATAATGAACCGGCAAAAAAGAAGAAGAAGAAGCCTGGCTTTTGGGCGTCACTATGCTGTGGAGGGGCGGATGAAAAGACGGATGATTATGTCGAGATTATTCGCCATCGAAAGCGCATGGATGCACAAGCACAACGACCTTCTGCTCAGAGCGTACCAGCTGCGAAATCTACGAGCCGGCCAACACCAGAGCACAAAACATCTTCCAATACCGCCACAAACAACCTCCTCGCTCTTCTCCCACCTCATCTTCCTCCGGAAACAACGTCATCCCTCCTCTCCGAGCTCGTCAAGCCTATTTCTCCAGCAGACGAAGAAGGCTTCATCTACATCTACTGGCTAACCACCAACACCCCCGACGAAGGGACCAAGCGAAATCTCCTCGCTCCTCCCGAAAAGAAAACCAACAGAAGAGTCTCCGATGTCCTCACCTCCGAACACTCCTCAGGGACCCGTCCAGGAACCATCATGCTCAAAATCGGCCGCGCCAACAACGTTGCGCGACGCATGAAAGAATGGGAGCGACAATGCGGGTTCAAACTCAATCTTCTGCGCTGGTATCCCTATGTCAGTGGCAGGGAAGGAGGCGACCCCTCTTCTTCTTCTTCTCCGTCTCCTGCACCTTCGCCAACGAGGGGGGGTGATGCCACCACGACTAAAGTGAGATATGTGAAACGTGTGGAGAGGTTGATACATTTGGAACTTGCGGGGCAGCAGGTCCGGAGAATGTGTGGGAATTGTGGCAAGGAGCATCGGGAGTGGTTTGAGGTTGAGGCTACGAGGGAGGGGGTTAGGGGTGTTGATGATGTTGTTAGGAGGTGGGTTGCTTGGGCGGAGAAGACGGCTGGGTGAGGTTGGAGTGGATGATCGTTGAGCTTGGAGCGTATGGTTCGTTGTTTCGGGTCATGTACCGAGTTGTGAGTGGATGGCTTGGGCATTCTTATATATCTTGAGAAATGGTACTGAGCTTCTGCGAGGTATCAGTTCTCCAGGTTTGACATTGCTACACTGCGAGACCACCAACTGGCAAGCAACGTGCTAGACCCACTTAACCATATTACCAACGCCATATGGTCGTCTTTATTTTACTTCGCATCGGTTGAGCTTGGTTGGTGATTTGATCTGGCGCACTTTGCAGCCGAATTTTTGAAACCAGAGCTGTCGATATGAGGGTTATTTCATCAGGACAAAGGCATCCTCAGTCACTCATGTCCATAATGTCCTGAGGCTTCTCGCTCTCTGTCCACAGGCTCGATGATTGGAAACCTATTAGAATCCTTGCTATTAGCAGAGTAGGCTTTAAGTAATCGAGAGAGAGATCGGTTCGGGGGCGCTGCACTTGTTTAGAGCTGTCGTCGATATGAGGATTTTTTTATCATCGAGACAAGATACTTCTAGTCGTCTTTGTGATGTCTTGAGGCCTTCTTGCTCTCCGCTGGAGTGACGATTCTAGAGCTGCTAGAACATGTCCTACTAGCAGAATGGCCGTTAATCAATCGAGAGATCAGTTCGGGGCACTGCTCTTGTTGATGATTTCTTATATCGACAGCTCTGAATTTTCCGAAAGAATCTGTAAGATTTCCCAGCATACATCGGTCCGTTTCCACNGGGCACTGCTCTTGTTGATGATTTCTTATATCGACAGCTCTGAATTTTCCGAAAGAATCTGTAAGATTTCCCAGCATACATCGGTCCGTTTCCACCTCAGCCCCTCGTTTGGCGTGAGTGGTTTTCCATACAGACCACCTTGGGGGGTGGTGAAGACCAAGCTCCTTTCGAAGACCAGAGCTGTCGATATGAGGATTTTTCATCGAGACACCACATCCTCAGTCATGCCTATAGTGTCTCAAGGTCTCGCTCTCTACAGGCTCGAAGAGTCTAGGCCTGCTAGAACTATTGTTACTAGCGGAGTAGCCTATTAATCATCGAGAGAGCAGTTTATGGCGCTGTTCTTGTTGATGATTTCTTATATCGACAGCTCTACGAGTATTTTTAATGATTTCTTATATCGACAGCTCTGAATTTCTCTGAAAGAATCTATAAGATTCCCCGCATACATCGGTCCGTTTCCACCCCAGCGCAGAGCTGTCAATATGAGGATTATTCATTGGGGGAAGACATCCTCGTTCATCCTCACAATGTCCTAAGGCCTCGCGCTCTGCAGGCTCGATGAATCTAGGCCTGCTAGAATCCTGACCACTAGTAGAGTAGCCCGTCAATCAACTGAGGGAGCACTTCAGGGCACTGCTCTTGTTGATAATTCCTCATATCGACAGCTCTACCTCAGCGTCTCGCTTAGCGTGAGTGGCTTCCATACAGACCACCTTGGGGTGGTGAAGACCAAGCTCCTTTCGAAGACGATTAAGGTTCATGCTTAATTCACTTTAAATCCCGCCAAGAAGCCTGTTCGAGACTAGTTCCTCTGCAGCAGCGGAACGTGAAATCCAGCCTGCATCAACTTCCCTTCCTTTCTACCGCAGACATCCGCGCAACCAAGCACCATGTCTGCCGCCGCGCGAGTACTCGCGCTCCCAGAGGTATGTTCCAGAGCGAGCTCTTGATGTTTGTTCTCGCTCACTGACACTGATATCAATAGCTCCTGGAGTTCATCATGCTTGAGATTGCCGCTCAGGCAGACCTAGACTCCGACAATTCCCTGGAGCCAATCACCTCGCTTCTCCCACTGCATCTCGTCGACCACACCTTCAACGACGTGCTCAAGAACTCGCCGCGGCTCCAGCGCCTCATGTTTTCGCAGTCAGCGCCTTTCCTTCTCACTCCCATGGAGTGGATCCAGACCGAGCTCGAACGGAGCTCGCTCCCAAACATCACAATCAATCGGCACACACGATCGACTGACCTCACGATCGACACACGTCCCAAGCAACTCTCATGCTACGACACCAAGTCCATGGAGCTCCTGGCCTCAAAACTCGCGAACCCGGCAGCAAGTTGGCGCCGAATTCAGGTCTTCCAAAGTGAGATCGAGTCGGAGAGACTGAGCACGGCGATTGTGCACTACAGCAATGGCTCCAGCCGTATCAAATTCGATTTTGAGGACGGGACTACGCTTGGAGACATCTTTGATCGGATCGTGGGCATCGGTCAACGCACACCTGCCCAGCACGTGGCTGCTGCGAATGCCACTTATGAGTCAAACTATCGGCGTCAAGATTCTATAAGATGGCTCTCTCCTTTATGGAGCCCTCAGATGCGGCAAGCAGCTCTTCGAGCGCACTCTCGCGGCAGGATCTGATACACTTGAGCTTGGAGTTTCGTTGCTGGTAAAGATTGCTGCGAGGAACAGGGGGGAGTGGCAAGATATTTTGGGCTCTCGGCGCGTGAGGCAAGGCTCATGGCTTTTTGTCAATCACAGCGATGGAATCAGGCAGACACAGCGGGTGGTTGGTATCTTCGGGTTGACCATGCAGAGCATTCTGGATACGCAAGTGGTTCATTGTAACTACGTGTAAATATCACGTCGATTGTCCCAGTCTCACAATTGACTCTCAAAATGCTCGCTTCCAATGTTCATCCTATCTCCTACCCAGTCTCTTGAATTCGTTGGTCGACAGGCTTACCTTGGCTCGTCCATAGAGGCCTCTTGCCCGTAGAAAATGATGTGTTACGCGTAAATAGGCTCGAACGGCGCGTATGAGCAGGTTGTAAGCGTTGATTGCTGGAGACCATGTCATTGTAGTTTGTGCCCATCTCCTCCTACTCAGGCCTTATTTTTTTTGCCGGGTCAAACCTCGCTTGAAGCGAAGTCTAGTACGCGTCTGAGAGGCGGTAGATTCGTGCCCCACGTCCCAGCGTGCAGTTCCGAAGTGTCAGTACGAAGAGCCTTGCTGGCCAACGTTTCCACAGCCCTTCGAAAGCCTCCTCGCTCGGGTCTTACCTGTCATGAGTCCGAACAAGGCTTTTCTCGTCGTTGGAATCGTTCAATCAGCAGTGGAGAGGTGTGGTAGGCATAGATACATGACCGCAGAGTTTCCACCGTCACCTGCATGAAGCCAGCCGCGGCGACTCAAGTCTGCAAATTCTTCTGTACCGGGGACAACCACAAACATCACCACTTCATTACCTTCACAACGACGCGTCCAGAGTCCTTGCTCATCAGAGTAGTATCATCACAAATCTTCTGTGMCACGGACAACCACAAACATCACCACTTCATTACCTTCAACACCAGCGCGTCGGAGTCACCGCTCATCAGAATATCATCACGATATCTCCACCAGCAAGAGCTACAGAACCATCGCCTGCTCATCGTCGCCTGCTCATTCATCATGGCCGCCGGAAGAGTCTTCGCACTGCCAGAGGTAAACATCCCGCTCAGCATTCCATACCACGCGACATGACTGACTCCAGCTTAGATTCTCGAAATGATCCTCATCCAAGTGGGCCTCGATGCAGTCGCCACCACCGGCGAAAAATACATCGAACCCCTCACAACACTCGCACGCCTCCACCGCGTCGATCGCACCTTCAATTCCACCATCCAAGGCTCCGCCAAGCTTCAAAATAGCATGTTTGCCGGATCTGATGGACTTTCCATCGATATCATGCTCGTTCGACTGATTTACGAACATTGGGTCGCTTGGACCGAGGACGACAATAAGCCCCCTGAACCCGACATCAAGCTCCTGAAATTTCCGCAAACGCCACTTCGCTGGCTGATGAACCATATCCACCCCGACGTTCTCTTGAAGCAAGCTTCGCGCTCTAGCTTCGGACTCTATTTTGCAGCCTTCAAACCAGACTCCAACGAAGAGAGGAGAATGGAGAGATTGGTGGGCTGTCTGCCCGCCAAGATGGCGGGAAAGGAGGCTTCGTGGCGGAAAATCAAAGTTGTGCAAAGTGAGGAGAGCAGCGAGAGAGTTTCCTACGCGAAGATTCACTTCAGAAGATCGAAGGATTCAGGACGCGTGAGTCATTATCGGGAGAGTTTGGAATTCCCGGACGGGATGCTCTTGGGCGAGAGTTTTGAGTGTTTGTCGGAGATTGCGTGTCGTAGTGATGCGCAGCATGTGGAGTTTGCGGCCGCCGCTTGATTGGAAGGGACTCTCGCTCGCTTTGGGTATTGTCTCTGCTAATGGGAGGGAGACTAGTTGTTCTTCAAAGAACGACTATATAGAGACTATTGGCACAAGAAATGATTGCGGAATTCAAGCTTTTGTACCGGGTGATGTATTCTCACTTCTGTTCTCCTCGATTCGACCTCTTCCCAGCCCTCTTGATTGATGACCATGCTAATAGAAAGTTCCCTAGCCGTACAATCAACAGTCGCGTTGAAAGGAAGTAAAACCTGATCAGGATTGCTCGTGCGCTGATTTTATTCCCAGGACATAAATCTTTTCTCGATCGGGACTCTCCCTCGTTTCAAGAGCGGCTCTACCAACGAAGGAGGCTCTATGCCTTTGAAATACTGTAGCTACGACGAGAAACAAGAGCCAATGCTCATGCCCCTTATCAGGCGTTTGCCGCTGCGCATTGTGTGAGATCTATTACCGCTACTTGTCCGTCAACATCTCCCCGTTCGTCTATGAAATGGCTCTGCCAATGACAAGGAAGTTAGTGGTTCTTTGAACAACGGCAATATCGAGAAAGCCATCTTGACAGAACGATGTGAGACACGAGAGCAAAATGTTCACGACCCTCATTAGGCGTCTGCCGCTGAGCAGTCTGTGAGATGAGTTGCCGCTACTTGTTCATCAACATATTTCCGCCAGTATATAGAACGACTCGGCCAACGACAAGGAAGTCGGTGGTTCTTTGAACAATAGCCATATCGATAGAGCAAGCTTGACGCATCGGTATGACACGAGAGCTTAACTCTCAATAGGCGTCTGCCGCTAAGCAGCGTGCGAGATAAACTGCCGCTACCTATTCATTGACATCTCTCCATTAGTCTATGAAACAACTCTACTAAGGATAAGGAAGTCGGTGGTTCTTTGGAAAATGGCTATATGGAGAGAGTAAGAGCTTGATAGATCGGTAAGATTCCAATTTTCAGGAGCACGGATAGTTCAGATCCATATAACGTGCGAGATATCCGGCTGCCACTCCATTAAGGACGTCTCTCCTTTGCACGAAGAAGCAACTTTGCTAACGACAGGAGAGCTTGTGGTTCTTCAGACGACGACTATACCAAGATGGCAAGACGTGAAGATTGAGCGGGTCGAAGTCTATGTGAGATAATCTCTCGTCCATCCTCATGTTTGAGTGAGCGTGACGCTTACTACAGTCCTCTCTATTCGTATAGAAGACTATTGCACTAATGAGAAGTGCTTCAGTGGCTTCCCAACTGAAGCTCTGATCGAGAGAGAGGATTCGAATGGTTCTCTGGTTAATTCATATTGCGAGTACTGGTGCAGTGTCGAACGTATTCCAGAACCATCCCAAGCAACAACCCGCTGGTGCTACAGTGGGAAGCCAACCAGAACGGCTTGTCGTGCATGCAGGTTCCCTCAACCTCTGGAACCTACTATGATCCATCAACGGGAAGAGCACTGGCCGGAGAATACGTGGGGACGTTCGACACTGCACCAGAACATATGATATCTGGGAGACTGTCAGTCACTTCATGAGCAGCTCTGAGATTGAACAGAGCTTCTTAAGAACAACCTCATCAAGGGCTTGTTCGCATGACACCCTACTAGGTAGTATCTCTCCCAAGAGGGAACATGCGTATGCCCTCATCACCACAGACAGCATCAGAAGTATGCCTCGACCTCCTCATATGTACCCAGATCATGGCAGCCTCYCAGGGCTTCGGTCCCCTCGAGGTATGCAAATAACGTCAAGCGTATGTAATGCAAGGCCAACTGACACATATATCACAGCTCTTAGAAACATCGTTGTGCAGGTCGGTCTCCAGACTATCACAGATTAGAATAATCCAACGCTACCACGCTGTTCTGAAACTACGAGAGAACGTGCCTTTTACCCGGAAGCGTAAAACAGAACCTATCCAGGCCCTTTTACGTTTAGTACAGGGTCGAAATGACCATCCATGCTACGATGAAATGCTCCTACGAGATCCAGCAGGCCGTCTCATCAGGCCTGATTACCCCTGACAATGGGCCTCACACATATGTTCAGGGTCATCCGCTGGATTTCGCGCAGGGCACCAACATCACTCAGCAGCCATTCGCCGCTAAGAAAATTGCAATTGTGACCAATGGCTACTGCGCGTCCACATGCAATTCAACAAAATCATACGTAAAGTTGATTTCCGTATAGACTACGGAGAGTTCGTCACGAAACAGCTTTTATAAGAGCGAGTTTTTTCGGAGCGTCAGGCGTACGAGCGCAACACTGGCAAGCAATGGGTGGTCCCAGGTCTCGAGCCCGAGATTGCGTGTCTCTCCAAGTTCTCGAGATCGCGGAAGAGGATGTCGTACAATGATTCTGGGAGTGGCGAAAAAGGCGGGCGTGGAAAATGTCATGTTGACGTGTTTTGTTGGGAATGCGAGGCTTACCTCTGCTTTACGCTTCCAGGACAGACGAGGACCATTAGTCCAGGTTCCATATCGATACCAAGTTGCAGGATTTGCTACGCCGCAGCGATTTAAGAATACAGAAGCAAGATTCAAAGAAGCTACTTGTCTTTCGATTCCGCTTGATCGTGAACGCCCTAACAAGACCATCACGATTCGGATACATGTTACGCACCGTTGTATAGCAGGATTACAGTGATATCAGAGACTAGATAGTAGTGTTGGAGCGGAAGAACGACTCTACCCAAGGCGAAGTCTTTGCGGAAATCGCCAAGATCGTGACACTGGGGTCCTAAGTAAGAACATGGTAGAGGCGACCGAGTGGAAAATTCAAGGAGCCCCCTGAGATGCTATTCGAGAATAGGACGATCACTCCGCTTTGAGCGGACATGKCAAGAGCAGGCATCTTACGAGTTATCTCCAAGGAGCTCAGGACTCTATCACTGACTGCTGTGGTGATTGGAAACGTACCAGCCTCCGAAATGCGTCATGGTTGCTATAGCATTAAGAGAGCTTAATGGGGGAAATTTGTAGGTTGCAGCTGACTCCATCTACTTCTGGAGCGGAAACACAGATTCTTGAGCTAGCATAACGTTCAATTGACTTCAGAACTTGGCGATAGGCGTTCAGGTGTCTTATGTGTCAATGTAAGGACCGTCTAACGCGTCGAAGATTTTGACCGCAGCCTGAGTCTATATAGCCCGCGATTCCAACCAAGTCAAAGCATCCAAAGCAACTAGAGCGCCTCGGGTTGGCGGAGGGCTATTGATGAGGGAGTGGAGACAGTTACTGTATCAAAGCATTGGTTACCTTAGGATAGGATCCCTTGTGTCTATTCAAGTTCCATACCATCGTCCAGTCTCTCGTTGAGGATAAATGAGAGGACGCAACTTGAATAGAGGAGCGAATTTGGGAATTGCATGTTGAAAGATATGACCAGTCATACGCTGCGTGAACATTTAGCGCCAAAGCCGATGGGATCTCAAGACTACCGTCGACTAAAGGTTGTACAAGAAGGACTGCGGTCCTTTGATCATCCTGCAATTGCTAGAGCATATTTCGAGCTTCCAGGAATGGAACCTTGTCGTAGTGATGAGATAGACCTGTCTCTTGAATATGTGTAATTGAGACTAAGAATTGGAGTTAAGTGATCGTATACTAAGGCCTCATGGAACTAAAGGTTGCCGGCCAATCTGCAGCAGCGAGAGATGTCCTACTTTCTGAAGTATGGATCACACGACCAAGAAGACATTCGACTCTCCGCCATACTGCTCGTTTCACTACTCGTAGCTACAATACCGAGAGCGTGGTCGTGGAACGAATACGAGGAGAGCCAGTAGGCTTCAATTTTGCTTGGATTCAGACGGCGTGCAAGTGAACATGAATCAGTCACTTCTCATCTACCTACCACCCACTTCTCGATATCTCGTTTCCACGCCTTCCCGCAACGCCAGAACTTCTCCCTATCACCGAGCTAGATAACCCTGCCGTGGCTCAGTGCAGGCTCGTGCATGATCAGTATGCTCGATAGGCTTCCGCTCCATAATCTCCACATACTTATCGAAGACTTCTCCCAAAGTCCCCCCCTCATCAAATGGCATCGTATCAACGTACCAGTTTTTGCCCCAATAGCCCGCAGGTCTCCTGAACACCACCTCGAAGAATGTCAGTTTCTCCCAATCCACCAGATCCTTCTGAGACACCTCGACCTTGCGCCATGAAGAATCCTCGTTACAGTCCTTCGAATTCATGAAGTGCTTCAGCTGCTTCCAAGGGTTGTCGTCTGCCTTTCCCCGGCGTGCGTCAACTACGACTCCTGACTGGGACGGGTTAACTGGGCCCGAGCGGCGAGTCATGTAGCGATCTCTCGGCAACAGGCAACTGAACAGCATCTCGAGTGGCGTAAATTGCGTGATTTCTACCATCTTGTAGAGTAGGTACCTCAACCGGAACTTCTTGACGAGGGTCGAAACAGTGTTGAGATCCGTGTACATTGCCTTGTGGAGCTTGCTGGAGTGCGTGATGGCATTATTGAAGGTATGGTCAACGCGGTGGAGAGGTGCCAGAGAGGTGAGTGGCTCGAGAGTAGTATGACCCCTGTCTTTCACAGCTTGGAGTGCGACTTGCAGGAGGATCTCCTCGAGCAACTGCTCATGATTAGCTACAAGCGTGGGAGATAGGGGTTTGTCGGGAGGGAGACTTACTTCTGCGATGCCGAAGACTCGCGCGGCTGCCATGATGATAGATCGAAAGGTGGAGAAGGTTATGGRGCTGTGGGAGGCCGTGCGGGTTGTGGGCGGAAGTCTGTCGGTGGAAGACGATTGTCAAAAGGCTGGTTGTTGAAGGAGAGCTTCTAGGACTTGGGGGACCGATGGCTCGACTTGAGGGTGACTTCCCGTTCGTGGGTTGGCACTAGGCGTGCGCGTGCGCGTTGAAGGCTGGCTTAGGATGTCGATTGCGGTGGTGCTGTATGGATTACCACTCGAGGAAGGGACAACTCGCTGGTTGATCACTGGCGAGCGTGTCGTTGGTGTGAAGGTCAGGATATGGAAATTCGACTGCGCAAGTTGTTGTGTTGGGAAGAGTTGTAACAGTGATCGAGGAGGAAATTTGAAGAAGATTACAGAAATGGGGTCCAGGAACTTGAGCCTAAGCCGAAGACGTTCACAGAACAGCACGATCCTTCTCGACACAGACGCCGCATGTACATGATCCTGAAGTCGATGGACACTGTAGTCTTACCCCTTTCCTGCGCTGGGTCTTCAGAGAATGCTCGACCAGCTCTCTCTTATCTGATAGAGCTCAATCCTCCACTAAATGTCGTCCAGAATCCCAAGGAGCCTGACCTCCTTTTTGAGCCGCTCGGTCTTGGGATAGGAAGAAGATCGCTCTTTTCGTTCGCCACATCCTCCGCGTTAAATTTGAAAAACAACATCGCACCTACACGAAGAGCATTCCAGCTGCCGCAAAAAGCTTCACAGCCATTCAACACAGCAGCACGGCAGCAGGATACCCCTTATTCACGCTGCCTTGACCTCGATACGCCGCAGAGTTTTCAACTCCACTCCGAAAAATTGTCCGATAGATCGCGAACATGGCGGCTGCTCGCTTGTTCGACACGATACAGTTCCTAGCGCATATCTTACTGATGCCCGCTGCGAACGCCATGGCTAACGAGCCCACCACGCTAGAATTCATCGCCTCGCTCACGTCGCTTAGTTGGATCAGTAAAGTATTTTGCAAGGCACTCAGGGTTCCCCCAAACCACAGCGTCCCATCTATCGACACGACGATAATCCAGTCTCCCAGTTCCATCCAAGACGGAGACCATATGGGCTCCAAAGCCACAAGATCTTGAACTTGCTCCGCTCGCAGTCACCTCCGTACTAGCTAGTCGAGGGTCAGCTCAATCTCCATATTGAACTTGGGCCCCCTCGCAGTGGTGAAAGTTCGATGGAAGAGACAAGCACAGTCGTGGACCTGCTGGAATATCCGTAGCACCCTCTTCTCCAGTGTTAAGCCGGATAGCTTCATCCCTACAAGTAGAGGACCGGAACCATCTTGCCGAGGCGTGAATCTCTTCCAGGGGCTGTTGGAGTGTAAAGATTGAAGTGTATGATTGTTGCTCTTGACTCGCCGCTGGATACTCGGGGAGCTACTCGATATTTGAAGAAGTTTGGGTATCTGAATGGTTTCACATTGGGAGAAGAAGCTCTTGATAAGCTTGCTGAGATTGAGTAGGTATCAGCAAGCAGTTCGGAGAAGACGGGACGGTACACCCCATAGTGAAATTGACAGGAGTCCATCGGCTGAAGATTGCCAGGCGATGGAARACTGGCGGGATAGCATGAGGGTTCTCAGAAGATCAGAATGGAAGCCATGCATCTTTGTCGAAAGTTTCAAATGCAGTCCACGACGAATGTTCGATATACCCTCGTAGTGTTGTCGCGCGAAAGTAGGAAGGATGTCTTGATTGGAACCATGTTGGATGGTGCTCGACGGGGAAATATCGACAGGATGTCGTGATGGAATCCAAGAAGATTGGAAAGGAAGGACGATTTGCAGCCTCCTCTTGCATCTCTCCGTAGTATCCTCCAAGTACCTCTTCACACTCAACCATATTCAGTACGGAGAATCGCCGACACCTCCCATTCAAACCAACCAGTCCCAACAGTCCGAACATCTCAACACAGGCTCTCGCAGCCTTACTACGAGCAAAATCTCACTCCGCCGCAAGAAATAGCCATAAACCCCCCTTCCCAATCCCACCCACCCCACAAAAAAATCAACCCACTCATCCCCAGATCAAACTCCCGCCCCCTCAACCCTCATCAAACAGCCAAACAAGCAGCATAATTAGGCGCAGTCTCCCATCGAATCTTCTCAGCCATGCTATCCTTTTGCCTCCCCTTCCCCTTCCTCCTCCTCCCCACCTTCGGGACTTCCCGTACACACTCCACAGACTTCCAAATCAAATACGCACAAAACAAAGCTACAAGACAAATAAACAACAAATAGATGAGAATCGCAATACGATCCCATAGAGGGGCTTCTGGGAGTAGGTCATCTTCCTCCTCGGACGATCTTGTACGACGATTGAGTGATGTTGTTTCGGCGGGGTTTTGCGTTTCGGATGCTGCTAGCGAGCAGACTATGATGAGGGAATATTGGAGTAATACCGCGTAGATGAATGATGCTTGCCAGAAAATCTGCTCCATGGATGTAGTCGTTGTGGTGTGGAGTTCGTTGACTTCCTCCTCCTCTGGGGTWTCGGTATAGGCGGTTCTTCTCCAGTTCAGAAAATTCAATATCATCGCGTAACCAATCATGAAACAAGAGATTAGTGTGGTAACTTCCAGTTTCCAATCGATGCAGACTTCCCTGGCCCGTACATCTGGACTGCAAAAGATGTTTTTCGTTAGAGCTTGAGAGAGGGAGGGTTGGTAGACGAGTTGTGTGAGTCTGATATTGTTGGAAGTTATAGTGGATGTGTCCCGGAGTTGTACAAATGAATACATGCTGATTGCCATGGCGCCGAATTGGAGGATTCGTTTTGTGTTTGAACTTTGATGGGGAGATTTCAGGTTTCTGGCGGTTGGGATGGCGGCTAGTGTGACGATTGTTGGACCGAGAACGGTACACAGGGCGAGGGGGGATGTTGACATTTTGGCTTGACTGATGTTGTCTTGAAATCTATTAGAGACGTTGGATGTTGTGGAATTGAGCGTACGGGTTAATTGAGAGATCGAGGCATATTTCTGATAGAAGAGTATCGAGGACCATGGTAGTGTGCCAAGTCGTACTTGGATGGTGACTTCAACACCTTCTCCCAACCAAGATATGCTGCCAAAAAGAAAACAAACTCGCAGCTCATTATCATCTTTGTAATGCTTCCCAACTCGGTGTCCAAGATTTGATCCCGCATAACTTTGCTCCATCACGACTAGCTTCCGTTAGCCTCAGCTTCACCCACACAAAGTGAATGCAAGCTTACCTTTTCCCCCGATGACCTGACCAGCAGTATCCATCACTTGTGTCGTCCATTATCGAACATCCCACTACCTCGGACCTTGACACCTCAACTGCAAACTCGCATCACTCAAATCCGCAGCAACGTCGTGAGGGGAAGCTGGAGTTTTCGAAGTGAGGTACAATCCCGCGTATCCCATATCATTCGGTTTCCTCCAGTAAAGCTGACATTGAATGGTATCCTTATTGACATTTCCTTTTGCTCCGATCAAGTAGAGAGCGTTGCACTGGTTGAATGCCTCATGTTGCCAAACCTCGTCCAGAGGCACGATAAAGGTCTTGTTGCTGTATGCAGTTTCCGCACTGTCCCAGATGGCCTCGATGTTGATTATTGCACCTGGAGGTATGATTGTCGTTGGCTGGGCGGAGATCATGGAGAGGAATCCTAGGCAGGCTGCCAAAAGGTAGAGAAGGTAAGCCATTGTGAGGTGGGGATTTGTTGTTGTGTTGTTGCTCCCAACTCTGTAGGAAGAGAGTCCTATGTGCCACCCTGGAAATTGTGAAGTGAAAGTCAGGTGGTGCACATTCCTCGGGGCTTGTTATGTATCAGCTGGTGCGAGCGGAGGTCACGGCCCTGGAATGCTTCCAAGTTTGCAAGGAACTGTCAATCTCGCAGCCATGTGATTCCCACGCGGGCTACTCCAGGAAGGCCCGGCCATGTATACGGGAGGTAGGGCAAACGATCAAAAATAAGTTTGGCAAGGACTACGGTGCGCTTTTAGCGACAACTCTGCAACAATCTTTTTTTAGTAGAACTAAGGTACACTACTTACGCTACCTCGGAATATAACTATTCCGAGAGGTTAGCGGTAATTTTTAGTTATTATACGGGCGCTTCCGATATAGCCTCTTTATCTAGTATGTAGATATAGTCCTAATCGATAGATTAATCGTAGAAGTAAAGTTGTCTAAAGCTTATATCTATAACTATATATTAAGTACTCCCTTTATATAGTAAATAGATCGAGAAGTAGATATACGCCCGTATAATGCGTTTACGACTATTAAAGTAGTACTATATAGATATCTATTAAAGGAACGAACGAAACTACTAAAAATAACTCCTCTCTAAATTTATAAAGTACCTACTATCTTTATTCTTATCGTAACTTTTTAGATTAACGACGCTTCGACCGATTACGCGTATAATTTACGGGTAGTTTACTTATATTCTTAGATAATTACGAAACCTTTAAGATCGTCCGCTTATAGCTTAAACCTCCTAGGGTAGGATATTATTACTCTACTTCCTCGGTTCCTAGCTCTCCCTTAATTTCTAGCTCTCCCTTAATCTATAATCGAGTAAGTAGCTATCTTTATAATTATATAGGCTAGAAACGTATAAATATCTTACTAAATAAAGGTAGCGATTTATCGTTACTATTATCGGTAGCGTTATACTTTATAGTAGTATTAATTTACTTTTTACTCTTCTATCGAATTTAGTATTAGACTTTATCTACTAACGTTTATATAGAAAGATAGTATATATACTTCTAAGGTCGGCTCTACTTTAACTACTAGCTTTAACTCTATTTTAACTTTTTACTTTATCTTCTTCTTCTTCTTCTAAGAGCCCTTACTCTTTAGAGTAGTAGTAGCCTTAGTAAGATTTACGTTAACCTCGGCCTCGTATAATAGGTTATCCGTAGGCTGCGATATAGAACGTCTCTTAAAGATAAGGAATACCTTATATTACTTTCGAGATAGCTAGCCCTTTATATTAATATCGTTTAGGAAGATACGACTTAGCTTCCTATCTTTAAAGTCTGTATCTAGAGGTTAAATAGGCCTATCTCAGTTATTATACGACTACGTAATATATATATAGGTGTTATCTAGATATTCTATCTCCTTAGTAATATGCGGTTTATTACCGAAGCTACGAATAGTAGCTACTATGTCTTTAATATTATAATCCGGTACCGTAATATCCTTAGGCGTTCCTATATCCTATTAGCGATTAATTATACGGCGGTATAGATAAATACAATAATAGTATATAATATATATAGTATACTTAGAGAACCCCTTACCTTTCTTTAACCTACTCTACTTTAGTATCTTATCTAGATTATCTAGGGTAATATAGTATCTCGTAATAATAATCGTAATAATAAACCTAACTTATACGGTTGCTATTATAGARATAGCCTTTATAATACTATCCTTCGACCGTTAGCTAGGGGGTAGATTACTTATATAGTACTTATACTTCGGTAGATTTATTACCGCTTCCTTTTCGATCTTAATCTATCGTATATAGGTTGCCTTTATACTAGTAAGCTGCGCTTTATCTAGGAGGCTCTTACTAATATATCCGTTAAGAACCTCGTCGTCTAATATCTCGCTTTTATTAGAGTTAATAATAATTAGTATAGTACTTAAGGATAGCGTATTCGTCCGTAGCGGTATTAGTATCGCCCGTATAATCGGTTTATTTAAAGGTGCCGGCGGTATTAGGTTATAATCGCCGTAGAAGTAATATTTCTTATTATCTAGTATATACTTTATATAGTCGAATTAGAGCCGAGTAAGGTATATACGCTTCTATACTTTCTTTATTTGCTTCTTAGAACCTATCGGTATAAAGCGGACTCGTAGATATAGCGTCGTATATATTCGTATAAAGGAAGGAATATTATCTATAAGAAGGGAGTTAGAGGAGGATTTTAGTAAAGGAGTAACCCTTTATCGCTCTATAGGTATAACTACGTAAAGATAGGGGATAGAGCGTACGCTACTTAATAAATATTATATAAATATATAGGCGTATAAATTTATTATATAGTTATTATAGAGTTCTTATAGAGATTATAGCCGGGGCCGCTAATACTAGTAGGGATAGAAGCATATTAGCTATATATCCCTAGTATATATAGTCCTATTAGAGCATTAGAACGTAACGTAATCCTATTATACCGATAATCTATTCCGACTTATCCGACTAATAATTAACCTCCGATATATCGCTATTACTACTTTCCGAGTTATCCTCTTTTAAAAGCTCTCTATTAATTAAACCCTCTAGTGCCTCCTTAAGCTCTTTACGCGAGCGGTTATTATCGCACTAATCGCGAAATGCCTATATAATATCTTCCGAGTCGACCTAAAATCCTTCCTACTTCCTACCGCCGCGGGGAATTAATATCTTATATAGTATATGCTTAGGAACCTTACGTAGCTCTTCTACGAGGTTCTCGTATACGATCTAGTACTACGGCTTTTATACGCTTAGTATAAACTTATACGAGCTTAGTCGACCGAGCGGAAAGCCCTTTGTCTTTAGAATACTTAAGTAGAGCTTAAGTATCTCCTATAGAATATACTCCTTAGAATCTATATATATTAGTAAATAATTTAAGATCTATTATATACGTTCGCTAGTATAAACGTACCCTACTTTGCGTAAGCTTCTATAAGACTATTAAAGTAGGCCTTATTAATTAGATACTTAATACTTAGCCTTCCCTCCTTCTCTACCTAGTTATAGCGATAGCTTCGTATACTACCCCTTACGTGCGGTCTATTAGATTATCTTCGTATAGGGTGCTTATTCTATATATATACGAACGAGGCTAGTTCTTTCCGTATAATAAGTATATAGATATACTTTATAGTAATGCGGTTAGCCTTCTTTGCTTTATAAAACTACCCCTTCTTCTTTAATATTATAAAGAAGCCCTATAATATTAAGATTAATTAGCCTAACCCGTATAATTAGATTCGGATATAACGGGAGCGTTACTAAAGTATATATAGATAATATGCTCTATATACTTATATACTATGCCTTAAACCTTCCTCGTATAAGCTAGCCCTACTATACCTCGATACGGATATTAGTAGTGCTTATTCTAAATATAAAGTAGCGGCGAAAGCGTACTTTACGCCTACGAATAATCCTTACGTATTAGTATTAAGCCTGCGCTATAAGGAGTGTCTCTTTCCCCTTATCTATCCGAATAATACGAGGTACTCTCGTAAGCTTTTTATAAGCTTTCGCAAAGTTAGATAGTATAAATACTAATATACGGGCAGAGGGTCTAAGATAGGTATATAAAATAAACCGTATATCTGTATTAATAGTAGCATAGATCTAAAAGCTATAGTCCTTAAGTTTATAGTATATATCTATACTCTAGACTATATTAGGGCTAGGCGTAATATACTTCCTACGGCGACGTATAAACTTCGCAGCCCTATTATACGGGCTAGCGGGATAGACCTCGCGGGCTATCTTATATAGTCGCTTCCTACAATATAGTAGTATATTAATAAACCCCTTTCTACCCTATAAATATATATCGTATAAATATACTAACCTACTAAGCGTAAGCCGCGTACGATCGGTTATACGGAAGTATATTTATAGCAATATTATTCTATATACTCTAAGGTTCGAGCGATTAATCTCCTTCTTTATAATCTTTTTATATTCCTCTTTACGCTTAAGGAACTCTCCTTCTCTTAGTCGTTTCTTAATACCTATACTCCGCCGAAGCCGTATAAAGGTATAGTACTTAATCGCAAATCCCTTCTTATTTAATTTGTCTACGATATACGTATCTAGTAGAGCTTCGAGGTAGAAGAGTTCGGTTATTCGGATGCGAAGGAGGGGATTATTATAAAGACTATTCTTTAACGACTATCGGAGTTCGCTACCGTTCTTTACGACGATTATACGGATAGTCCGTTCGGAAGTATATAGCTATTATAAATAGAGGAAGGTTTAAATATCGGTAATATTTATATTATTATTCTAGAGTTTAACGACTTTTAAATAAAGATTAGAGGGGATAGAAGGGGAGCGGCCTATTATATAGAATATACGTATAATAGGGTAGAGGGTAGACGGGAAAGGAATTAGCGTAGTAAGAGGTTATAAACCTTAGCGAAAACTTTACTAAAAACTATAGGATTAGGGTTAGAGTAGTATATTTCTTTAATATAAAGCGATAGTAATATAAATGGTAGGATATTTATAGGGATAAATTATACGAACGTATAAAGTAAGGAGGAGTTATATTTTAGGTATAGAAGCAAGTAATTATAAAATAGAAAATATATTTTAAAAGTAGTTTTTAAGTGCTATAATTAAGGCCCTCGTAACCTATTAGAAACTCCTAACGCTTAAAGCCGCTAGTATAAAGAACTTAAAAGAGATTCCCTCCTCCCCTAGATACCCTTAACGCTCTAATTACCTCTTTAAAAACTACCCTCTACCTTAATTAAGCCTTATTACTAATACTCTACTATCCCTATTCTCTAGCGACTACTAGTACGCCTAGACCTCGTTACCTACGATATACTACGCTTCGGCCGTATCTAATCTCTATCCTAGCGATTAAGTAAGTCCCTACGGTCGTAGCTATAAGTTTAATTATAAAACTTGTAGTTACTATAGATATTATAGAAGTTCTTCTTCTAGATTATATAGCTCTATTCCCGTTAGTATCGCATACCTTTATACGGGTAGGAAATATATCTAGAAGTTCCTATCGCTATTCTAATACCGCTCGTACCGCTTATCTATTCCTATTTCTTCTCTATTACTATCTACTACTATCTTATTAGGGTATACCGTTCTACTACGATATTATTAGCTAGTATACTTCGATAATTCTTTAATAGGATTATATAGACCGGCTCTAAATTAATAAAGCGTTAATAAAGCGTTAATATAAGAGTAACGGTTATAGATTTTAATAGCTAGATCGAATATTAGATCTTAAGTTAAGAAGCGACGGCTAGCCTTTAACTCTATTAGCTCCTTCTACTCCTTATTAATAGTAAATCCTACTTACTCGAGCTATTATACGGGTTAGTACTACTCTTAGAATGTTAAATTCCTAGCTCCTACTCTATCTGCCCTTACGTCGATAATTCTTCTTCCTCTAA